TTTTAGTCGGAATATAGGTCGACTTGAGTTTTACCTTTTAGCCAGTAGGGCTTTTCTAAATCCTCTGTTTTTCACACCTAAAAGCATGAACAACATGACTGCCGAAGATTTACTCGTGACAATGAAGAATGTTAAAGCACAGGACAAAGGCGATCCTCTTTGTAATTCACCGAGTTCTGATAGCGAAGTAGATCAGCTAGACCGACCAGGAACAAGTTACGAACTCTTCAGTCTGACGATGAAATATTCGGTCAATCAGAAGCAGAAGATGAGGCAGAAAGCGACGACACCGATGATGCCGAGATGATGACTGAGAAAGTAGACAAAAAGACAAAGAAGGGGAAAAAAGCAGCTAAAAGACTCAAGAAAGGAAAAAAGGCAAAATCTTTAACAAAGAAAGCCGATCAGCTAATTGTACCTTGGCTTAAAAGTAGCAAAACTCCATATGAAATACCTAAACAAGAGCGCACAGGCTCGATCAAGGAATTGGACCTAGTTCCAGCTCAGAGTCGAGTTAAATTCAGATACAATATCAATTTTATGTTTTTGCTTCATGGGCCTTGACAATGCTGAAATGAGCTAGAATAACCTTTTTTTACTAAGATTAAGCATATGCTGAAATTATAATAATAGGCTTGTCAGTCTATATCAGTTTAATAGTTTTTGCTAATAAACGATTGTTTATATCCTTCATTTTAGTTTGTCTATTGTCGAGGGTGTTTTATTGTAGCCCAAGCTAGGCATTTGTGTACTTTTTAGAAATATTTAAAACATAACTTGACAGGTGAAACTGTCCCTAGTGGTCCCCCCATAGTCTCCAAATTTGTCAAGTTTTCAGTTTTGCGCGCGCAAGTGGCCTCAGAATACCATCGGCACGGATGGGTTTGGGATATTTTTGGGGACACTTTTTTGGATTTTTTTTCCGAAAAAGCGTTTCTATCGATGCCTCTCGTCCAAAATAAGGTAAAAACGTTGATTTACATATGCTGTCTCAGATAAAACTTCGTTTTTATTTAATTTCGGTGCGAAAAAAGGATTTTTGTAGGGGATATTTTTTTAAACCCATTTATAATGCATTGTGACACTGAATAAAATAAAAGTAGACCATTTTTTTGAGTAAAATTTTATTTTTACCTATTATAGGTTCAAAGTCACTGCTTGGGCTCCCTGTGGTCAGACGTAGCCTCCTTCGCAAGCAACTGTACTCCGTGGGATTCCTGTGTTAAGGCAAAAAAGCTGCCGGAGGGGGAGGGGCTTCTTGTTCGTTTTAAATTCCTAATCTCTCGACACCAGTTCTTCTCGGTCAAGAATATGAACACAGGAAGACTAAGAAGAGAAAAATGTCCTTTTCCGATGGRGTAGCCTGCGAAGGAGGCTAAGTCAGACGGTAAACCAGACATTTTGCCGTCTAAGTCAACCTTAATATATTCATGCCTGACATATGTGGTATCTGTGATCTCATCGGAATGCATCAGTCTAGCCATCAGAAATACGCGCATGTGCGGATCGCATGGAGCTTCGAGTAGTATGCTTACGGAACAGAATGCTAGCGCTAGACAGTCTTGTTTGGGMAAAGATTTCAAATTAGAACAAAAAGAAACTTTGTTTATCGATAACAAAAAGGCGACTTCGATTATTTCATAGGCATCTTTTTAAAAGTATTTATTTTCTTGGCCTGAGAGGTCAACAATTTGAATTAAAAACGTACTAGATATGATATCACCATGCTTTTATTATCCATGATATCACTTAGCGACATAGTCTGGATACCAGGTACTAATTACATGACCTTTTAGGTCAAAATTTAGATTTCTATCGTTTTGAAGTCGTTGCAGAGAGCAGTCAAAAAGAAYATCGTATCGTGTGAATAAACGATCACGCATTCTTGCTTTCACTATGTATTAAAAGTAAAAAATATAATATTCTACGCCATGATATACATTCAAAAATAGCTAGTCCGACTTCACGCTCCAAGAGCGTCTAGTTTGTACATTATGATACAAGTGCAATAACGCTTTTTCAACAATGTGTATTTTTTGCTCTATACTGGACGGGCTTATTATCAWTGATAATTCAGTAATTATGTAAAATATCGCTTTTGGGAGTAACAACATGCGCTCTTTGAGCGCCTTTAAATTAGGCCTGGGTTGTGATACTATGACGCACGATTCCCTTGTCACGGTTTGATGATTGACATTTCGCTCTGACGTAGTCAGATCGGACGAAATTTTTGTMAAGCAAAGAACGATAATTAATCACGAAACCTCTGCGAAAAAGTAGAGTTAATAGGAGAGAAGAGAGCCTATTCGACGGTAGGTATTCGTTTAAGTTATTTTGTGTATATTTGCTTCGCTACAAAATAGAGAATTTTAGCAAATGGAGACTTATCGGATGCTCAGACGCTCATGTCGTCCATGTTGGTTTTTTTTGTGCGTACGTGCAGACAACGATTCTTTGATGTTCTTGTAAACAACAAGTAATCTTTGGTTTGATCACGGCAGAAGAAGTCCTCCAAAACGCCTAAGAAAGTATATTGAGCAGTCCTTGGCAGAGTTCTAAGACTGCAAAGAGATTTTCMAGGGACGGAAAGGAAGGAACGTCTTTAAGCAACGCAGTCGTGTTTTTTAGTAGCAGCAACTTCAAACTTTAAACAGTTCAAATCGAAATGGCGTCCAAGACGACTACCAAAAACAAGTAAGTTATCTTTATAACTTATTGAATAATTGTTTTACTGAACATAAGCTTATATGCATTGCATACAGGTAGAATTTTATCGCGTGTGTCCAAGTAAGAGTTTACCTACGATTAGTAAGCCTGACTTTGGATGATTTTGTTTTATGAAAAATGCTCGAAAAAWTTTTTCCTTTTTCCGCGTTTTACCGATGAAGATCAAACTCTTGTACGATAGCTTTAAAAATGAGACACTATGACGCTGTAATGTGCTCATGGCTCGATGTAATAAATATGAAATTAAGCTTATGAGTTTGCAAAATAAGACCGTCGTCATTCATGAACGACAAGTACCCGCCACCACGCGATTGAAGTATTTTTTTCTATTTTGGTTAAACTAAAAATCTTATTTTTCTTTTAATCAATGAAATATTTTTATAACTGCAACTTGCTGTGGATGGAATATGCTATGCGATCTTAGCTTGTTTTTCCATTGCATCCATGCATACAAACAATGAAGGTCTACTAAATCAATCTTGGTATCACCGCCTGCTATAAGCTAAAATATTTGAAAACCCGTACAAATTGCTTCAAAATATAGTTAACTTTCATCTTTCCGTACTTTAAATACATCTGATTGCGAAAATTATTGTTGCCTTTTTTGTGTTAAGTACTTCATTTTTGGCATGAATAATATAGTCATCCTAGATGTTAGAATTGAACGGCAAGGTGTTTCTCTCTACCGATCAGTAACTTTGTTCATCAAAACAATTCTCTGTATGAGCGGATGTATATGAAGTGGTTGCAGATTCAAAGCTCTGATTACATATCATTATATATCATATATATATATAATGTATTTATAGAGGCTGCAGAGAAATTTCAATGCTCACCTTTACCATCTACATTATACGAGACAATAAATTATACATATTGTGTAACCTAGTATGTACTGGAATATTGATAACCATGACGACTGACAAGCTTAGCTTTCAGTCGGTTTCAGAATATTGAAAGTGCAATCTTAACATTTTTAGCATACATCAAACCATAATGATTATGAGGAGCCTGATATAGCTGTGCACATTTGAATAACATTGATCATATTTTGCTTCCCCTTCAATAAACTAACTTCATAATTTGAGGAAAACACTTAAAGTTCCTTTAACAGTGCAATATATGCAGTTTTTGAGTTTTCTGACTGTCGCCACTGGAAGTTGCATTACACTGTATGTATTTTAAATTCAAGATGGTTATTCTAATTAGATTAAAGTGATTATGCAACCTAGCCAAATCAAACATATATTWAAAATAGATATACTAAATGATGTACATGCATCTGTTGAAAAAAAGTGAAGATTTGGCGAAATCCAATTTTTTTATGAGCTCTCAAAGTTGATCATAAGTGCTACAAAACCGAGCGATGCGGGGGATTGGGACTAGTGTTGTGATGACGTAGTYATGCGGAACAACTGAAGTGTCAACAAGTGTCAACAAAACAACATCAGAGAACTTTGAGTGCAATAGAGAAGAGTACAGCTATGTCTTGTCGATTTCAACTGTTTACATGAACCATCATAGTCTTCTCGATCAAACATGAAAATGCGTCCCGGACACTACGTCATCATAGTCGTCACCAAGCTTCCCAAAGGAAGCTCAGCTTTTTCTCAGCTTTTTCAGCACAGGATGCCCAAACGAAGCTTATAATGCAATTTCAAACCGCTGTAAAATCAAGAATTTTTATATTTTTATATATTTTTTGACTTTCATACTCCGAAAAATTATTATTGAGGACTTGAACTTTAACTCAAAACAATATTTGGCCAGGGTGTATAGGCACTTTAAAATGCAAATTATGAGGCCAATTATAACGTTAAAGAACGATGAAGTTATCAAAAATTATGTGAGACAAACCATATTTAAGGTATATAATGCATGGACACAAGTTTCAACTTACATGTATGGTGCATCGTCAGGGCTATTAAACCCAATAATACAAAACTGAAGGATGTCCTCATAATTCCTCTTTCTTTGTAGTCTTTCTTGCTGTTCTCAAGATTTATAGGGAAATGAAATTGGAAAAATCTAGTCTACAATGTTTTTAGATTTGTAATATTAATTGTTATACATTGCTAAACTGTTTTCAGAGAAATACAAAAAAAGTGTAAGTCAAAAGAAGCAGCCAGATCTAGAAGAGGACAACAAAATGATGAGTTCCAAGAGCTCTCCCGTCAGTTACCTCTACCGGATGCCATCTCAAACCAGCTTGATCGGCTGTGTATAATGAGACTAACAAACAGCTACATCAAAATCAAGAAACTTCTGGAATCTATGATGAATAGTGGTATGTATATTTTGTGCTTCCAAAATACAAGCTAATTAAAAAGTCATAATGATTAAAACTCCAAACATTGAAGCGCTACCTTAGATATTTCATGAATGCTGTTTGGTACAATGGAAATCAGTTTTAATGTTTTTCGGCATGTGTTAGTGCTACCTACATGCAAAAATGCCTTTGAATGTAAGAACATTCAATTGTTTTTGTGTCAGTATCATTACTCGTGACCAGGCCCTAGGCCGGGTCACGAGTCAGAAAATGCAGCGCGTATAGTTTTTTTTTTTTTCTATGTGAGACATTTGTCTTCGGGCTGACCTTTCCGTCTGGAACGCCTATCACATTACGAACTCGGCTGTGCGATCTCTAAACGAAAGATCACATTACGAACTCGGCTGTAAACAAGCGTATCATAGAACAGCAAAACTGCTCGTGAATTACTGTAGCTTTTATACTAACGAGATATAAATCGATACTTCGTAGATAAATGAAGCCCGTGGATGTCTCATACAGCACGCAGTTTGAATTAAAATATTCTTCAAAACTCAGAATTATCGACTCTTCAAGTCAGACTCTGGCGCTTATTATTTGGGATAGCGGAAAGTTTTCTGTTAAAGGCGAAGAGATCTCAAGTTATACGATCGACAGCTCTTCTAGATACGAACTACTCTGAACAATCGTATCATAGAACAGCAATAACTGCCCGGGATTTACTGTAGTTTTTTAGTAATTATTTGATATTAGAGGCCTTTTGTTATTCCAAAACATTCATCTGTGTAAGAGCATATATTAGGACATTGGTTTAGGTCATAAAGGTTGGTGTATCGAGCCAAATAGTTCATTTTCCTTGGCAAGATATAAACCGATACTTCGTAGCAGACTACGTGGCTGTCTGATTCTGAGTTGCATAGCCTATAATATTTTCTATTTGATGAGGGATTCTGTCTCTTCTGGTTAAAGAAAACAATGCTATTCACAGATTAGTATTCCTAGATGAAGATCATTGAAGCGATCATGCATGTTATAGAGAGGGGTCTTCCTGTTTGCGAAGATCCCTCGCCACACGGCGTCGAGCTGTCTGATTTTGATACTGTAGTATACTTGACCTTTAAATTACTACAATATTCTTACTATGTTTCACGCGAAAGACTATCAGAGTGAACGATTTGATTCTACGCTTTTAAAGATTTGTGAAAAATTATGGTATATCTAGTTCCTTCAAAAGCTGCTATATATTACATGAAAAGTAATCAACAAGGAGTTACTTTCACAAATTTTTTCTCTTAATATAGTTTGCTTTCAAATCACTTTGTGATTTATCAGTATAGATGAACTGCATGCCTTTGGTAGCACTATTCTTTACATCTAAACCAGACCCTATCCTTAGAGCGTCAACTCGGTCAAACTATTTTAGAAAATTGAGAAAGACAGTATATTACATGGTTGGTCAAACACAAGAAAAGTTTTAAATGAGCTCTTTTTGAAAAAGTACTGAATAAGACAGCAGCTTTTCAACACCTTTAGGGCACGAGTACACCCTGCTGTCAGGGTCTAGTTATAATAATGAATAGAGGCGATTTCGTATGACTGGGAAACGGCGATGACGAATCATGTCCGTACCGTAACTGTATCGTAGCTGTATCGTATTCTTGGATTCTGATTTGTTGGCATTTTTTTCTGCTAACACCTGATTGGATTGATTTGTATGTACCGTAGTTTGTCGAACCGTAAGTTCGATTGTTGATTGGATGAAGGCGACACTTGCCATATCGCGTGTTACGATCGTTGATTGGGTAAATACGGTGCTCGCGTGATACCGTACTTTAGCCGTATCGTAAGCGTGATTCCTGATTGGCTGAGAGACTTTCTACTGACAACTGGTCTACGTCATCTTGTCATACAACACTAGTTGCTGAATTCTCGCCACCTGTTTTTGCGAAGTTTTCGACAGAAAATTCGATCAGAAAAGCCTTTTAAGGATGAATGTCAGTGGGAATCAGTTTTTTGTAAGTAGAGATTTTATAAAATGACTGGCAGATGTTGAGATTTGAAGATTATTATATCAATATTCCTCTATTTTTTCGCCATTTCGAGACCTCAGTGTCGATTTGTTGAGAAAGTGTAGTCTTGGTATCTTGATGCCAGCTTGATAAAATGATCTTTTTGATAAATAAACCAGTTGAATTAGCTTTTGTTTGTATTTATTTGAGCACTTTTAAGCAGGGAGAATATTTGCAATTCATTGTGTGAAAGTTTTTAGTTTGTCAAACTTTCCGTATTCACTCGCACGTGACATGTTTTGTCGGTAATTTTCAAGCATTACTTGAATTTTTTTGTACTGCTTGCTTGACAATACCACTTAAATGTTTTGTTGGGAAAATTAGCCTTTTTTTCGTTGTGATTATCATCATTTCTTGCGATTAACTTAAGAAAGGATCTGAAGGAATCCGTATCGTACATGTAGCCGTACCGTAGCGGTATCGCGTCAGCATCGGTTTCCCACTCATACGAAAACGACTCTATAATAATGGGTAGTTTCAGAAAATATCCGTACCATACGATGGACGGCATTAGGGGTCATGGTCCATGGGGTCATGGATTTTGGAATTCCAAGGGAGAGGGAGGTAAGACGATTTCGGAAATCCAAAGGAGGGGGGAAACTACCTAGACAAATTATGGAAAACGAACTTTAACCAGGACTTACGTAGACTGGGCGTAGATCACGATCTAACAGTCGAAAAAACATTATAAAAACGTTTAAAAACCATGACAAAAACATCTAAAACTGTATATTAACTCATTCCTGTCCGTGATTTATTTCTGAATTTAGGTTGTTTTTTAGACTGATATTTCAAAATATTAAATGTACCCCATATTAGGAGTTGTCAATCAAACTATTGTAGATTCACATTCTTCTGGGTTTGTTTACTTCAGCGACGCCTGGCGAATTTGAGACGGCTCGCTAAATTGGCCAGCACTCACTCTCAAATTCGCCCAAAAACCATTTTTAAGTGATTTTTCGAGTCATTTGCTGCGACAGAAGCCCCTAGGACTGCATTATAAAGCTCAACTAGGCTAAGCTTGACTAGGCGGCAGAGACACTCTTCTTCTAGAAACGGGAAGCGAAGACAATGTCGCGAATACGAAGTTAGCTTTGAATTGCCGACGCTCGAGAAAGGTCGCCTCCCTAGTCGTTCTGTGGCAGATTTCAGAACCTACTAAGGTAAAATTGGCAAGTTTTAACATCCAAAGAATGCAATCGGTGCAATATTTTGCCTGTAGGTGCGAGTGGCTTGGCACTGAAAACAAGACTGTTGGGTGCTCCCTGTCAAGTTTGAACCTTACTCCCATGATGCAGTTCGAAGGCGCAAGTGAGAAATCTGTGTTTTCTGTGCTGGGTCTCAAAAAGGGGCCTGTGGCTAGATCTGTGGAGAGTTCTACCAAACAAAAAAGACAAAATTCTAAAGACGTGGAGTGGCCAATTTCAAAAAACCTGGAATTTCGATTTGCAAAAGATGATTTCGACTCTAAAACTGAAGACGAAGAGACGTGATTCTCACCCTTATCCGGTGCAGCAAAAAGTCGAAATTTAAGCATTCCTATTTTTCAGGGGTCCTTTTTGCCCAGATATCGCGCCCGATATGTGAAATGTTTTCAACTCTAAGATAGACTTTTGGTACTAGCTGTTRAYATGGAGTAMATTTGGTTGTCTTCATTTGCGCTCTCGGAAACTTACAATTTTTAGAAACATCAGTACGGTAGTACTGATAATTCTTAAAGCGGACAGGAAAGAGTTAAAGCAAAATGCATACATTGAAAGCAACGCATCTTATTTTCGAGTCATTTTAACAAAGTTTAAATCATTTGTGCGCAGATTGCTTGCAGTGATCGTCGATTGTAAATGCTTCTGGTCAGCGGTTTCTTGACAGAAATTAATGGCGTCTCGGCCGCAGATAAGAACATTTCTTTTTTTCTCACGAGTCTAATTTGTTCGAGCATTACTTGTTAAGAGACGTTAACTAGACAGAGTAAAAGATAAGTAATTCCAACATCAATGATTTTTGTGTGATTTTTAAGCAATACACCATTTCGCGGATAATTCGAAACTTTACATTACGTTGTTATGGTAAATCATTGACATCACTGGAAAGAGCTTCATAAAATCAGCAAATATGCCAAGTTTGAAAATAATCTGATTTAAATTCAAAGAGATATGTCACTTCAAAAACACTAAATTTTGCATAGAAATGTTTGGCTAGGTTGTAACAAGTCAAGGTCAACCTCGATCTCATGCCAACAGCCCATAGATTTCTTTGTAAATTTTGCCGAATTTTAAACGCTGTATCTCCTTGAATTTTCATCGAATCATGCTCAAACCTGGTAAACWTAYTAATTTYATACTGTTCTTTCCAGTGGTGGTAATAGTTTTCCAATATTTGCTCAATTTCTAATAGCTGTGTTATCCGCGAAGTTGACTATTCCATGAAGCTACGACAATGCATTGTTTTCAAACGATCAGTTTTACGATTGCGTTCTCAAAAAAAGTGCTGATATTTGAGAGAATATTTATTCTCATTCATTTCCTTGGGGTAACCTGATTTCCAAGGGGAGTCAAACACTATTTTGGAATTCCTAAGGATAGGGGGGATACCAAATTTTGGAACTTCCTTAGGAGAGGGGGGGTCGGAAATCGATGCCGCCCATCGTATGCATTTCTGGAACTACCCAATTGGGTTTTTTTATCACTTAAGGTTACTGTAACCCTTCTTTGAAAAGTCACTGCTGTGTTGGATTTCGTGCTTTAACTACTAATAGACAGCTATCATTGTCATCATAATCACTACTAATACACCGCGATAAACATCATAACAAGACTACTAATAGACCGCTATCATTGACATCATAATCACTACTAATACACCACGATAAACACCATAACAAGACTACTAATAGACAGCTATCATTGACATCATAATCACTACTAATACACCACTATAAACACCATAACA